ACAGACTGGTATATGATATTCCTAATAAAAAGTAACATTATACTTTTATATAAAGGCATTCTAAGGCTAATTATTTTTTTTTAGTCCCTAATATGTAACAGTAGCTTTTTTGCTACTGTTGTACATTAAATTGATGTTTGCATCAAATTATTCAAGATTTTAATTAATGGGTTCAGAACTCTACTATTAATATACTTTAAGTCTTGATTCTCCAGCCTAATATGCATCACTTTATACTTATTTTTAATCTAATTTGCTGCAAATTTGATAAATTATTTCCAAGCCCTATATCAGACCCTGAACAATTTAAATGTCACAGATTCCAAGGTGATTCTAAGGATCCCAGTGCTTTTTTCACTCCATTTTGAAAACTCAGTTCACTGATTCCCACATTCTGTTTTTCTTTAGTTCTTCAGCTGTTTAATTTTAATGCTGACTTGTTACCATTGCTCACCTGTTGCTTTGGCACATAGAAATAATACCATATGTACCAACAAACTGATTTTAATGAATCCATCTGCCAGGAACTGATACAGAACTCCTGCCATTTTTATCTCTCTCCTTTTTTGAATATGAGAGGATAACACCTGTCTATGTTTAGTGTTATGTATGTAAAGAATACGTCTACTCTCAGTTGTCAAAATTCTTCCCCAAAAGTCATGTTGTAACTTATCTGGAGTTCACCTTTTTCTTCTTGATTTATTTCCTCTCAGTTCCTATACATCTTTTTTCTTAACTCAGAGGGTTAAAAATCCACTAGCTTCTTTTGAAAGCTCTCATCCTGTAAGCATCTTTGACTATTAGTATCATAGTCAAAAGAATATATTTTGTCAAATTTTTGAATGCAAATGATATGCTAATTTTATGTGTTTGTGATAATGCTTTTCTTATCTTGTTTTGCTATCTATTTCCCTCTGTTTTTGCTTCACTTTTTTATTCTGATACATCTTTTTAAATTTGAATTTACTTCAAACTGAAGCTTTCTGAAGTTATGTAATTCTTCCCCAGACGTTAAATTATTTGTTCGTTCAGTGGTCTGGTTTGCACATAATACTAAGTCAAAGGTAGTTTAACCATAGTTTACTGAGCAAGCTATAATACCTGCTTTGCACATACAGTAGTTCTAAGGCACTGTGAGGGTCCATAATGCTAAATCATGTTGTGATTTGTTTGGGGTACAACATTATATATATGAACAGAACCTAGGAGAACCAAGAAACAGCAGGACATCTCCTACTTTTTTTTGCAAGAAAGGAATTAAGATGGCAGTTACCGTATTTTTCCATCTATAAGACGATACTTTTTTTCTAAAATCGTTACACTAAAAATTGAAGGGCATCTT